GTGTGTGTGTGTGTGTGTGTGTGTGTGTGTGTGTGTGTGTGTGTGTGTGTGCGTATTCGTTTGCTACTTTTTAAATAGCCAGTCTACTTTTCCACAAAGATTTACTTCACATATTATCAGCTAACACAAATGTACGTGGATCTGACTTGTGCTAATGTTGATGTTGTTCGTATCAGTTAGCGATAACAACAGACACTGCAAGAAAATTGTAACCAACAGAAAGTCTATTTTTGACCCGGAGGACTGTTGTTTGATTTGATACATTTTCAAACAACTGGTAGCAAACAGAAAGCGATGGTTCATTCTAGTAAACCGATTTACAATTGGTCGCTTTTAAGGACAAGAGGGCTAACCCAGATTTGGGGGATTTCCAGAAATTTTGGCCAACACCAAAAGTGGAAATTGCCTTTCCTATAGGAGAAGTTTGGTTTCGTTGGTGTGTATATTTGTTTTTTATTATAGAGAAAACTCTCCTTGTCTTTTAAAGAAAATGAACAAGGGGCAAAAACTTTACCGTCGATTTTCTCAAAACGTCATTTTTCGGGACTTTTGCTTAAAAGCGACCAACTTACAGTTACAGAGACTTTGTCGGCGTATGTGGTGTAGCGCTTAGGCACTTCGCCATCGCATGCAAAAGACGCGAATTCAATTCCTCTGTGGTGAGAAGGTTTATTGAGTCCTTCGATCAGCCTTTCTGCTGGGGCGCTATATCCCTTTTAGCTCGGGTTTACCCTGACCGGCTGGGATCGGATCCCGCCTCCTTAATGGCCTAAAATGTGTCGATAAGGACACAAAACACCAAAAAATCAAGTCTTTAAAAAGCCAGAGACCTTGACACAAATATGTATCTGTGCATTTGACGTATACTAGCGTTGAAAGTATTCCCCGTATCAGTCAACGATAACGGACACGTCTCCAAATATTTTATCTCTAAGAAACACGACATACAAACAACCTCGCTCGAGGACCGATATTTCTACAGTACCAAATGGTAGGCAGCGTGGTGGAATCAGGCTCTCGTCAATTTTTGGGCACATCGAGTTATTTGTATCATTTTAAAGCTTGTTCACATATCTTTATTTGGATGAAAAAAATACCCGTTTATCTTAAATACAAGTCGAGATATTTGCGAATGAAGGAGGTGGGGGTCACCTGTTTTCTGAGGTAAAATTAGTGAGAAAATGGCCGCCAAAGAATAGTTATTTCCTTTGCTTAAGAGTCCGTGTTAACTAAAAATGTACATCTTTTGTGCCTTTAATAAATGTTTTTCAGAAAAATCCACAGAGAAATTAGTTCTTTAATAGGCATGAAAGGTGTTGAGCCCAAAAACAAAAATTTGATAAAATTCACAAACCTGCGGAAAAATGCAAGTTTCTTCACTTTGATTAGTTTGACGAGAGCCCGATTCCACCACGTTGCCTCACAAATGGTAGCAAACAGCCAGAAGACCATGACTCATTCCAGTAGTACAACGACTAGTACAGTAGACCTACTTAGAGAGCCTGTGACCCCGACAGGAGAGACGACGACATCGCTGTTTACGCGTCACTCTAACAAACAGCCATTGAGCAGAGTGTGAACGAGTGTTTGTCTTGTTCTAAAAAACCCACGCGGAGCTGGTGCCCGGGGAAAGAAAAGAGATTGACTACACTGGATAGAAGGAGATCCACTTTCCTTTCAATTTAATCTTATCCAGCGAGTTTCCATAGCCCGGCTGGTGTTTGGGCGGCTTCAGAGAGTAGGAGGCATTGACTCCAGTCCCATTGAAGGATATGGGCTGGAGGGTTTGGTGTATTGTTCAGGCTTTGTTGGCTGGCTCAATCTGAGCCTTGTCTCTCTCTCTCTCGGTCTTCTGTTTCCCCCACTAATGGAGGCGGGGAATGCGTGACGGGGGAAGACGGCGGTGAGAGGGGTTTCAATAAAGTCCAAGTATTTTGCTAAATTTATTTCAACGAGAAGGCCATTCAAAACAGATTTTTCTGAATTAATGACAGTTGTACTGATCTGGATACGGTTTCTGCAAACTTGGAATGTTTGTTTTCTGGTCACGTACGAGTGAAACAAGACGCTTGTCACGTGACTCAGTCCCTCGTTATCGCTGAGTGGACATCACGACGTGATAAACTGGACAAAGCAACGGCTTGTTTTGTTGCCATTCAAGTCAAAGGGATTCTCAAAGATCTTGATTTCGTTATGCTTTCCCAATTTCATAAAACCCCGTAAACCCTAGTCTTTTAGGAACTCTCTAGTGGTCCCCTTTTCTCCTTTTTATAATCCGCTCAAACATCTCCTTGCGCTCATATGACCTTAAGCAGTTGCGAGCGCCGTAAAGCCTCTACTAAAACAAAACTTTTTTAAAAACGTCTCCTTCCTTTTTTTCAACACCTTTTGAATGCTTCCTACTTCTCTGCCCCTCCCATCCCACCCCACCCCCTACCATCACAACTACCACCACAATACCACAACCACCACACCTCTCCCGCAAACTAACTCTACAACAACCACTACCACCCCTTCAACAGTCCCCACCGTTGCCTGTGCCACAAATACTGAATGCCCCCCCCCCCCTTCCCCAAGAAAAAACAACAACAAACAAAGCACAAAAAAAAAACAACCCCAAAAGCAACAACCCAAAACCAACCACAATTATACACTCAAATCAGTTTCCTGAGAACTGTTGAACGTTATATTTAACGCTACAGCCTACTACTTAGTTTTTCAATACCTCTGAGACCTAATTAGGGAACTAAAAAAAGACCAAAAGACGAAGAAAGGCCCGTTACAAAAGTGCAGCTCCTTATATCAATTCCAT